CGTATTTTTGTATTTATTCCTGCTTAAATTCACTGGTAAAAATTCTCTTATTTCACCAGTAATTTCAACCATTCATAAAACCCATTCTTTATTGCTTCTTAGATAATCTCATTTTACACACCAATATTCTCCTGGGCGTATTTTCCTTCATTCACTGTAATCTTTAAATCCTTCTAAAGCAGAGAAGGAGACAGGAAAATAAACAGGAAACAAGCAAATAAAAAAAAAAAGTCATACTGTGGTTAAAAGTTAAAAAACAAAAGGTGGGTCTTATGAGACAAGAGTTTTATTTTTGGCTTCTTCAAACTTTCAGTGTCATCTTAGCCAGCCTGCGACAACCTTGTACTTCAATTTTCTTAGCTGGAAAACATGATTTTAAACCACAGAGCCCAACAGTGCCCTGGAAATATGAATGCATTAGTGTCTGTGAAGTGGTTGGAAGATATTACTGAGTTGAAGGTATTACTTCAGAAACAGAAAAAATTTCACAATTTTCCTATAAACCTGCCTTTGCTAATTCTGCCTCTTGTTTTTATTACACTTTTCCTCTATTGTAGCTAAAGGATCTCAGACACTGACTACATTTAAATGACTGTCTCCTGCAGATCAATCCTAATCCTTCAATGAATTACTGTATCTCAGAAAACGTTACAAAGCAGAATCCAAATAATCAGGGTGGCTTTACTTTAAACTTAGTACCCAGTCATTAAAATGACCTTACATTTATGTTAACTTATGTTTTAGAAATAAAAAATAAAAAATAGTAAGAGCCCTCAGACCACAGGACCAAAGAACCCAGAAAGGTTTTCAAAATTAAGTTTGGGTTCAGCATCTCTGGAAAAGAACTTCTCCTGACAGTGTTTGTGAATAATTTTTCCAACTCTCTGAGATCCCTCCTGCAAGCCACCCTCCCATCACAGTCCTCTGGGGTGCTCCCCCATATGCGCAATGACTAAGTTTATTCTCCCAGAAAGCTTAATTTGACTCATTACTCATTTTCTCTCCCAGAGGTAGACACAGCTCGAAGCTTCCCCCAGAGCCCTAAAAGTGTCACCCGCCCACCCCCTCCCAAAGTGACAGACCTATCCCATCTCAGGGTGCAAGGCAGGTTCATGCCCATGGCGAGAGCGTGGGTCAGCCTTGGGGTGATGACTGACCCTCCTGCGCGACCCAGCTCTGCTTCTGCCAAGAGCAGGGTGGGCAGAGGCTGCCCGCACGCTGGGAAGATGCTTTCAGCCCCTGCTCCTGGCTCGGGGCAGGGTGCAGCGATCTGAACACCACAATGAGAGGCCTTAGGGACCATGGTGGCTAAAAGCACCGTCTGTCACCGGCTGGAGCAATAAATAGCAACAGCCTCAGGGCTGGCAGTCTGTGATATGCTTGTAGCTAGTAACTAAAGCTTCTCTGCTACCTGGAGAATTGCAAATCCTAAACACCTGACATTTTAATTGGTGTATTTTAATGAACTTAGCTACGCTTCCTTTTAACCTCCAAAGCTCTTCCCCATCAGTATACACCTTCCCTCCCCACGATTTCAGGGGTGAATGAAGAGCCCAATCCCTTCAACGGGACTCCTCCTACTGATTTTGGTTTCAAAGTCTTTAGGCTTTGCCTGTATGACTTCATTTCTATTTTAAAGGCTTAGGCAATCTTAAGAGCAACCTCTGCTATTTTAAACAATTTAATTTGATCACATTAATCTACAGTTTGCAGGCTCAGAATTCGACATCCACAGTCAAAGATGACTCAGACTACTCAATCCTTTCTGGATTTTTTTTTTCCTTTTTTTTGGAAAACAAACCATCTCACAACCTTCTGTATTACGTTTTCAGCAGTTACGACTTATCTAACAAAATGTCAAAGACTTTCAACATTGGACAACCAACTGGAGAACTGGATAACCAAACCTAATTCCAGTGGGGAATCTAAATTGGTTAGACTCATTGTTTATATTTGGATTTTCCCCTCCTAGGTTGCAAACAGTCTGCTAGGGAACTGTGAATGAAGGTACACGCTGGCCTTGAGACAAAACCACCCACATTAAGTAAATTTAAATCAGCGCTTCCTCCAGGAAACAACGTGTTGTATTACTTACAAGCAGATTTGATTATGGTTTAGAGAATTGTTTAAACCCATCTAGCAGATCAAAGGAAAACAGATTTAAACTGATATGCTCCTTGTTTTAAGAAACACTGGTCGATACCTGATGCAAAGATCAACATGCTTAATGGCTCCTGTGTAAAAGTTTAGCAAAAACACAGGCGATAGTAAAGATGGAAACATCAGATCTCACCATTTTATCACAATATCTTCAGATTTTAGATTTTAAATTGAGGCTAAAAATAGCCTTATTCCAGCATTTCTGAAATAAAATCAGGTTCATTAAAGCAATAACATGAATAAGCTCAATACCATGTTGGCCTCTCCCTTCAAGGCCACAAAAATACCCATTAATCTCACTGTCAAGAACACACCTAAAACCCTTTAAAAAAAATCAGAGCACCAAAGATGTCTTTATGGTCATCTGTCTACTATAGCATACAATAAACATGCAGATTCATACAGCAGCATGCAAACAGCCTAGCAAAGAAAGGGCTAAGACAAAGAATATCCTCAGAGCAGTTCCAATAATCATTCTGTTTGTGAGAAGCATTCTAGCTGGAAAGCAGGACTGCTATCAGCTCAGAAGTTGTTGTTGATCTGACATAAGCCAAAAGAACCTACAAACTGCAAGGAGGAAGTTGCTAGATAAAAATAAAAAAACAATGGAGCAGAAGGATCATGTTAAGAATTGGTTGGATCTCCTTTGTTTTCCAGAAACAACTATTTCACCCTTAATTTCAAAGGGGCTTCGGGGGAAAAGATTGCAGGAAATTTTAGTGGAGCACATATTGCAAAAAATAAATTTAAAAATCTATTTTTGGGCAAGAATGGTTGAAGAAATCCCTGATTAGCCTCTTAATGGGGTGAGTCCAATTTAGTGAGAATGATCACCAGAGGGAGTCATTGACTTTCCCATTAAAGTCAAAGGAAATTTTACATACATCAGGAGTGCAGAACTTGGGGGCAGAGCTGAGAAAGACTCCAAACAGACTGGAGTTCAGGGACTAACACAAAACGCAGTTTTACAGATTTGATCTGAATCCATTTCCCCCTTTGGAGTTCCAAAGGATGACTGCTATATGGTGAAAGTTAGAGAAAAGACACTGAAGTCATTAATTCAGTGGGTACACACTCCCACAAAAAAATCCCAGCACTTAATTGGTTTTAAACTGGTTTGGAGTGGTGTAAGTACTAAATGTGCAGTTTTTGGATATGCAGCATACCACAGTCCTTCTGGAAAAGCAATTTTTAACAGCCCAAAGAAAATCGACAGGTGCCATATATGAGTGTGTCATACCTCTTGGGAATATCAGGACTTCAAGCAGGAAAAGAGTAAAAAGGAGGCAGGAAGAAGTGCTAGTATGCTTTTTGGGTCGGTTTTTGGCTTTTTTTCTTCACTGTTATTGACTAAAAGAGGAAGTAAGAGTAGGGATTTGTAAACCAAGTGATAAAATGAACTAAGTAGATGAACCAGTCTACTCAGCCATGAGGAAGTGTGTATTTCATGCTCAAATACCTAAATTTCATGACCTTCAAATAAGTATTTTCATGTTAAGAACCAGGCTTTTGCTTGCTGGACTTCAGCTCAACCTTGTTCTTGCCACAAAAGCCCAGCAGACTTTGGTCTTGAAAACAAGCTCATTCACTAGGCAACTTTCCCCTTAATTCTGTACAATAAGATTACACAACAGAAAATTAGGAGATTAAAAAAAGGCAAGGAAACAGCCCCACCCAAATAAATGCAATTTCACTTCCCTAAAAATGTCCTCTAAACAAATGGAATTCAATTTGTTTCTGTGTTCCCAGGTAACAGCAGCACCTTGTTTTGCTTGTTTATTTAATTACTTCTTCTTGTTCATGCAATTAGCTGAGAGTCTGCAGACTTTTGTTCATTCTGTTAACCATAACACACTTATTTGCATAGCTGTTTCCATTTTGAGGCTGATTTTTGGGTAGAGGCTCTAATTTGAGCTGTAGCAGGCAGAGAACCAGTCGTAAGCCTCAGGCAGGGCAGCACACAGCAACCTGCTACTTTGTGGAGTCAGTCGCTCCAGGAACTGCACTGGCTGCTCATCTCCTTCTGATGGCAAGTCAAAGCCCCATTTCCAACATGCACTGCAAAGCACCGCGTAGCCTTAGGACCTGACTGTCTTTCATCGTACGTACCACCAAAAACCAGTCAAGTTAATCCTAAAGCATCTTCACCAACAAGCTGCCCAAGCTTAACTTTACTGTTCTCTAGAACAAGACATCACTCTGGCCAATGTAAGCTTGATATAAAACTATCAGTATCACCTCTTATTGTGGTTGGGGGAAAATTGGAGTTGGAGGCTACTTCAGGCTTTCTTTCATGAGCAATTTGATTTAACATCCAGTTGAGCCTAGTGCTACTGTGATGCTCAAATGAGTTGCTGCACAGCTAAATCTTTTTTTTTAAACACTCAAGATATATCCCCAGAACATAAATTTTAGCAGAATGCTGACCCTCTCCATTAATAAATGCAGCAACCACCTCCCCCCAAGTCCTCTGAGTTTCTGGCAGTGAACTGATGTCAGCTTATTTTTATCTAGGTTGCTCAGAAATTGAGGAATCTGCACCTTCTTATGGAAACGAGGCAGAGTCAGTGCTGGCAAGACTCTGCATGCTCTGGTGCACAGGAAGCACCTTCATCTCAGCCTCCAGGCACCTAAACACCCCCAAAACTCTACCTCTCAGGAGAAACTGCACACCAACTTACACTATTTGAAATTGAGAGAATTGGAACAGTTTGGAAAAACTGTCAATCTTTGTAGTTTACAAGCCAGCCTTCATATATAACCCACAGCTATGGTTAGGATTCGTTGTCTAACCAAATGCAGCAAGGTGCAGCCTTTTAACGGCATTGGTTTAACCCTACCTGTGCCATCTGCCTCTCCAGCTTTGACCGGGGAATATCATCAAAATAGTTTTCATTTCTTCTTCTCCTTGCATCGCCCTGCATGATAATGTGGGGAACGTCCAGGGAGCCACCAGTAGTGAAAGTGCTTTGGCTAAGTGACGGAGACAACTGAGGAGGAGTGTGGTTACCGCTGGGTTCCTGGACAGAGAGGAGAAAAATGTAGCATAAGAAGAACAGCATATTGCTGACTTCAAACCACACATTTAAAACTGAACTTGAGTTATTCATACTAAAAAAAAGAATTAAGGAACAATTCCTGAAGTAGAGGTTACCGTGTATGAACTTTTGAGATTTGCTACTTGAGGTGCAGAGCAAAATATTAGGAAAGGAAGGAAAAATAATTCACTATTTACATGAACTACTGGCAAATTCCCTCTCCAAAACCTCCTTGTGTAATATACACTCCCTTGTAGGACTGCTAGAGAGATAAAACAGTGAGTTACTTCTTGTTAAGGCCCAAATAAAGCCGTGATTTATGACTAGCTATTTGTAAGATGAAATACATTCTCACCACTTCTGAGCAGCCACTCTGAGCAGTGAAAGTGATTTGAAAGTGATTTGAACTGTAGTAACATCTCTTGCCGAAAAAAAGAAATTCATGAACATCTACAAAATACAGACACTTTTTTGGCAATTTTTATAGGCCTTGCAGAACATCCGTTTAACTTGAAGTACTGGATATCAGAAACAAGCTACATAACAATTCCTAGAATGCACGAAAGCATCAGAGTACAAATATTTTGCCAGGCTTTTCCTGTAATCTGTGCTGTACCGTGACCTTGCAGCAGTCACTGTGCAAATACCACAGCGAATTGACAAATGAACTCTAATGAAAAACTAAACATGTCATTCTGATAATACATTTTATTTTACCAGGATCTGCCACTGTAACACCCACAGACAGCCACCATATATACATTTGGAAACACCCCTTCTCATGCACGCACAATCTGATCACATCACTTGTTCAAACACCATTTCCGAAGATCGGTGCCCAGCTCCACCATTCAAGGCTGTCTTGGAGATTGCAACCAGCAGGAGCAGAGCTACAGTGTCCTGGCCAGCCAGTCTGCACACACACCATCCCAGCTCGGACTCTAAAACACTGTCACAGCAACTGGATGGGGACCCGTGTTCCTCTCTCATGATGTAGGTTACTGGGCTCAATTTATCCGACACTAGAGACTTCTCTGATAGTAAGTTCTTTGGAGGCAGAATGTACCCAGGAGTGTGTTTGCACAGTGCAGACCTTGTCTAAGTTACCTACTGCTGTAATACTATATTTCAACACTAAACAAAAAGAAGGGACCTGAAGATATTAGAGGAAACAAAGACCTGCTCCAGTGTGCATGGAAGGTAACAAACCCTGTCTTTTTATTTAAAGAAAGAATTAAAGTTGATATTTCATGCACAATTACACTGAAGCAAACCTGATTCTGAAAAGCATCAAGGTACTTTATGGTGTTAAGAAACAAGATCTGGTTTAAGAAATCAGAGAGCTGTAATTGCTTCCAAATGGAAGGGAAAGCTGCAATTCTCTGTATGCATTCAAGTGGTAGTAACATCTGATGTTAATATTTGAAGTGTAGGAGTCTATGTGACATTATTCCTTGCAGTCACAGTAACGATTAGTACTTTTCATGCTGGCTGACTAAAATCAGGGATATATAGTTGTTTAGCAACTTTTAATTACCTGGGATTTTTTTTTGTTTGTTTTGTTCTAAATTCTCTAGCTTTCCTATGATCTGAGACAATCACTTGATCTTTCCCACAGCATAGAAAGGAGTGTTTTCCTCTTAGGAATAGTCTTTCTCCCTCCTTCACAAAAATCCACCTACATTTGGCCCAGTTAAAAACTTCTGAAAAGCTGCAGTCTGCACATGCTCACAATGTTTGTTGAGGCATAACCTCCAAAACCTACCCTCCATGGTCCCAGCTCCAACTAGATGGTTCACATGCCTCAGCTCTGAAAATAATCTGAGTACAGGGTACCAAAGGAGATCCTTTCTAATGACTGCTACCCACCACTCCAGCCAGGCAGGTAACCTCTCTCTGCTCCGAATCATGATTTACCCACTGTTAGAAGACTGACATGGCCATCAGCGCAAAGTGACAGATGACTGTGCAAGGGACATAGAGATTCCAGCTCCATCGAGCTGTTCATATTTTATCAAACTGCATATAAAGAGGAAATGCACTCGGAGATCTATACGAGAAGATTGCTGGCAAGGCAATACAAACAAGAATTACAAAGTCAAGAAATAAAACAATTATGGTGCCTCTGCATTATGGAACAGTATGTAATTGTATGATTTTATGCTATTTTCTCAAAGTCGTCCTTCACAGCACAGATGGATCCTCAACTGTGCAGCATGTTGTCATATACTCAGCACTGCGTTATCATTAGTTATCATGTAGTCAGTATTTTATTCTCACTTTGTTTCATGGCCCCAAACCCCTTCCCTAAACTCTCTTCAAATCCTGCTCTGAAGACAGGATGACTAATATCGTCATTTTCATGATGCTTGTGCTTTACAAATGTCAATCAATTTATTTTCACCACACCCTGTGACTTCTGGCATTTTATAATCTCTGCTTTAGTGCGGGGGACCTGAGACACACAGACAAAGGTTAAAAAACATCAGTCACTCTGGATGCCCAATTACAATATCTACTGCCCGATTTTCCAAGTGCTTCTATTCAAAACTCCACTTCTACTGATCTAATTTGCAGCACTGTGCGCTCAGCACTTGTATAAATCAGACTCCAGTCAAATATGCAGAATGCCAGTAACATAGAATTAGGGACTGTTTATGACACAATTATCTCAATAAGTTACCTTACCGTTATCTAAGAGCTTTGTGTAAATGTGTATTTTCATAGCTACAAAAGGAAAAAAGCAGGTGTAAATCTGTATTTTCATAGCTACAGCTATTCCTTTAATCATGAGTCTTTCTCCCATTCTTCCTTCATTCCTCTTTCTCACTCCATATCCACTTTCTTATCTCTCTCAGAAATCTGCAGACCAGGCACGGATCCCCGTGTGCAGGTGCTATCATGTACTCAGTACTGTGTTACTGTTAGTCACCAAGTACTCATATCATTTTACAACCCTTTTGTGAATGCATGGATACATGCCCTGCAGGGATGCCTGATCATGTGTTTTGCTATCAAAATCTGCTTCATCCCCACCCCTCAGTCCTGCCAGTCATGTAATGCTGGAATCACACAGATCAAGGCTGGAAGGCAGCTTAAGAGATCCTTCCTAAGGCTGCCTAGGCGTACCTCATGCCCCTCAGTTGTTTGTCTAACCAGTTCCTGAAAACAGGAATCCTTTTCAGTGAATTAATTCTTGCCTTGAACTATTACTACTATTGTAATGCTTCGTCTTCCAATTTTCAGTCTAAATTGTCATTTCTTTAGTTTAAATTCCAGCATCCAGCGCCAACAGGGTGACGATGGGGTTCCATGAATTACATGGAAACTGGTCCTGGAATTAAAGACTATAATGCACTCAAGGAAGGAAATCCAGATTGCATAAGTAAACTGAGATCCAGCATCTGCTAACTTTTTAGTACATAACTTTGAAATCAAAATAACTTTTTCTCAGAACGCAGTTATTGTGGCAATAATACATTTAGTAGATATTTTTGTTTGTTGCTTTTCCTCAGTATTTAACCATTTTTTACTTTGGAATATTTTAAAAGCTATTTTAAAATTAAAAAAAAAAATTAAAATAATTGAAAAAGATGAAGACTGTCAGACATGCTTCGGCCTCAGGATCCTAAAAGGTAGACTTTTTAAACTACCTTTCTTAATAGATACAAATCAATATTCCAGTAGCCACAGACACTTTATTTAAACCAACTTTCAAGCTAAAAGCTATTGCAAACTACAGACTACACACTACGTCCCTGTTTCACATGAAATGGCATAGTAGCAGTTGATGGGAAAGAAAACCTTAATCCAAGCTTATATCATTGTCTTTAGGATTCTCTGTGAAGACTCCAATACTACGAGGACATTTAGCACTTGCCCGCATCAGCAGTTCTAGCTGTGGAGCAGCAGGCTAATTCTTATCATTTTGACTACAGATGGAGGACATCCAGTTTTCTCCTCACTATTAACTGAGAATATACAGTCCTGACCAATAACGTGGGCTGTGGAAACTTTCCCACCTGCTGAATAGGAACTAATTCCCCAGTGCAGGGCACTGAAAGCATTGAGCAAAAATGCGCAACTTTCAAATGCTGGCAAATGATTCCTCTTTTCTGTGAGTGTTTTAACACCTGCCATGCATCAGGAAATCATTCACATAATACATCAAACATAAAATACAAGAAAAATATCTGCACGCTTGTGCAATGTGTCTTAGAGCAGGATGTTATAGACTTGTGAGACCTTTTTCATCACAGCATTAGGAACAGGCTGCATTTGGGGAGGGATCTAAAATGTCTATATGTGGCATTTGAGAATAAGCAAGGTGAAAACAGGCTGGCCACAAGAATTGTAAGTGAATGTAAAAATAAGACCCCATTCTGTCGTTCTCTATTTCTCTTTACACTAGGAAATTTAACTTGGGAGCATTGACACTCTCTGACATTTGGAAATTTATTCCTAAATGAGATTCCAGTTAGAAATGCAGCCCCATGAAAATAATCAGATCCAATAAAATGCAAAACGTGTGACCTAAAATATCAAAATAAAAGGTGTTGCTATGAACTCCCTTGGAGAGAACACAGTAGGAATGGGTTATCAGACCACAGCATGGTAAGGGTAACAGACAGGAAGGAAGCAAAGGCATTGGATCAGGGAAACCAAGTGAAGGTGCTGTAACCAGAGGAGATTAAATCTGGTCAAGTGTGGAAAAACCCCAGGGACGTTGCAACAAGGTTTCTGAAAGAGGGAAATTAAAATTAAAAGTGCAATGAAACTTCTGATACACAGAAACATCTTAATGGTATTTGTATCCCAACAATTTCAAGAGGCTCTCTTTAAAGAAAGCATAAAGCATGTATCTGAAAAGTAAGGGACAGCATTTGAAAACATGAGAAGAAAATTGTAACTCTCCTTCTGCAACATCGATCTCCTGGGCTGGGATTCCTGTTGGCAAAAGTAGACGTACAGCTTGTACACACCTACTCCTGAGCTTGTTTCCTGAGCAATGAAGATAAGCTGGTACTTCTAAGACACTACTTATCTCATCCTAAGGTAGACATCTGAAACAGGTCAGATGAATCACCTTGTAAAAATGGCAATTTATCTCTGCTGGCTATATGGGGAGGTGTGACTGAGCAGGTCAGCCTAAGACATCTCGACTGTAAACTTCTGAAGTGAGGTAAATTGAACCCCACTCAAAGCGGCTGCTGTTCTCATGCCAATGTTATGAGACACTGGCTGACTTTTAGAGAAATGCAAGCAAATTTTCATGCGAACTCACCCTGAGGGTTATTGACCGAGGTGGTTTTTGAGGAGGATCTTCGTGAAGCCTGTCTCCCAAAGATGCCAAAACACGCTTTCGGTGGCCAATCAGGCTAATTTTTAAGACCTGAAATAATAACAAAAATACCTTGTTAAAAAGAACACATCGCAATCATTAATGGAAGGTCCATTCAGAGTGAAGCCATTTTCTCTTTAAACCTTTTAATAAGTTAGTCCACTACACAGGCTAAGCAGACAAAGAGCAGTGGGAGGCAAACAATCAGCAGAGAAAATGAGAGGTGAGATCAAACAGAGGGAAAAACCCTGTAGGATGAAGGAAGAAACCAAAGCAGGTATAGATGTGGAAAACTGAAAAAAAAAAATAGGCTCAAAAACTAGTAAGGAGGCAAGTAAAATCAAACAGGAAGAGAAGACAGAAGAGCAGGAGCAAAAACAAGGGACAGGGAGGAGGAGACTGAAGAAGGAAATGTAGAGGTGGAGGCAAACTGCGAGTCATGAGGATTAGAGGGAATCACTGGATGGATGAAGAAGAGAGTGAGGAACAACCAGTGAATGCTTAGAGAGGGCAAGAAGGGAGAAAAGGAACTGCATAATGAATAAATGTTATCACTTTTAAATCTATTCACCATGCCTTTCACAGTTAATCTCCTAATGACATGTACAGTTTGCATTATCATGTAGAATCATCCTTGCATAAGAAACACAAGATGGACAAACTCTGTCCTGGAGGTCTACTATTTTTATCAGATGCAATGAAAAAAAAAAAATCTCCATTGCACACAAACATGACCATCAGTGGATAGCTTCAAATACATTGTGCTTGTCTAAACTCCGAGAATGCTGCCAAAAAGATGTTCCAAACTTACTGCAACTACTCCCCACTCATATCTCTCCGTGTCCCTGCCACATATAAAACCACTGCTGCTCTCAGGAAAACAGAGAGGGCACAAACAGACAGTTGAAACTTAAGCACTAGTGGAAAAAAAAGAAAATCATATTTTGATGCTGTTCTTTAATGGCTACAATGGCTTCAAAGTGTAAAGCAGCCCTAATTGTAGAAGCAAGCCTCTTTTCTGCAAACAGTGGTGTCCTCACATAACTCTTCCAGACTGTATGTATGGTTTCATACACCAGAGCTGCTTCCATTCCCTCTCAGATCCCTATATTTAGGACCACCGTGTGTCAACACCCTTCAGTTGAGAGGAATTTCTCACTCAACCTAGAAAAAGTAATAGTCCCCAAAATCCCTGAAAGTGCTACTTCTTAAGTGAACAACTACCTCAGTTTAAGCAGTACCACTAAGAGCCACCATTCATGAGAACAAACCAACCAACCAACCCCAAACCTCAACAACTCTCCTATGGCATCTCTTAGATCCGGTATCTCAGGATATGCTACAGCGACATGCTGTCGTTATTCTGGTGGGTGAACTTCTTGTCCATGGGCACGTGAGTTTGTCCACAGTTCCTCTGTCGGATTTCTCTGTGCTATCTGGTATTGTTGAACATCAGGAACATCTTGTTGGCCTTCACCTACAAAGCGATGGGCCTATGACATGAAACAGATCAAGGCCTTCCTCTGACAGGCAGCTTGCAGGGCTCTTGCAGACCCTGCAGCTCGACAGCAGATCCCAGCTGCAGAGAGAGTCCCACAAGTCTGCTGTGTGCTCTCCTACTAGTCTAAATGTAGAGAAGCACAAGTAGAGCTGAGATAGCGCAGCACACGCTGAAACGCTGGAGACATGAGGGAAACTTAGTTATGTATTCAGTGGACATTGTATGTTAAACAGAAGGGCGCACAGTTTATCTCCATATTTAACTATATGAAACACGTGAATGAACTACAGCTGCTTTAAGCATCACTCAGTTAATGTACTCCAATGAACTAGCTGTTTTCATAACGCTTCCCCATCATCAAGAGCATTTACCCAGAGATTTTTAGGTCAAGCTACAGTTCTTGGGTTGTTTTGAGGTCCTCAGCACTCTGACTGCCTTATTAGCTATATCAAACCACACAAAACAATTCTCTGACTTCACAGAGCTGTTAAACAACAAGAGACTAAAGGACATGAGTCCTGAGGGACTTCACACGTAAGAGATCAGCAGGAGTGTCTAAACGATTATATTATTTAAATAACAGATCTCAGTTTGAGATCAATACAGATCTTCTAACACCGTAAGTGCTGCTAAGCTTATTCCACATTTTGTTCTTCTATTAAAATGGTGGTCACCCCAAATCTGAAGTGGTGGAGATCTAGAGATGCAACCTACAGAAACATATGGTCCTCAGCAGATGTAGCCCAGTGTCATCCGGACCACATCTTCTGTCAATTGAGATGGCTTAATTCTTCTGGGAATGGACTCTGCAGTAATTTTCTTACTTGGAAACCCTGTTACCCAAGTTACAAATATAAAATACTTTTTTCTGGAGCACTCCTATATTTGAGTTATAAGAGTTAAGCAAACACCTTTAAACTCTGAAAACTTTTTCTGTGATGGATTATCCTTGACAGTATTTATCAAAAATGTCAAATATCACAAATATAGGTCAACAGTGTACAGTGGGAAAGTTGCCTAGAGAAGTATCTTAGAAATATCTTAATGTTGTGTATTAACCTTTAAAAGTCTTGCACTTATTTGTCCCAGAAGTTAGTTCCCCGTGAATATTTCCTATATACCAGGTAAGAGTGAACATAATTAACACTGAACTGTAGGGACAATCAACACAATGCACCTGAGTACTATGAAGTGAAGCATTTTGTCAAATGGATTGTAGCCTACTTCATATATGGCAATAAAATGAGCTTTGCAGTGTGGCTGCAAGAATCAGCTAAAACATGTCATTAAACTGTTCAGAGTAGCTTAAGGCCCTCTACAGCCTGTTATGTTGCTGGGACAAAAAAAAAGCATGTACATGACATGCCTCTTTCCACACCAACAGTAGGATAACCGAGGCAAAAATAATACAACTCCATGTCATGTATTTGCTTATATTTGATGCTGTAATACAATTAAAGGAGAATGGGGCATTTGTCCAAAGAAATGACACATGCACACAAATTTAATCCTGTTTTTATCTCCATATTCTCCAATGTTTATAATACAAAAATTAAATTCCACTAGGAAATGTAAGAAATCCAGAAATGTAAGCAGTGTAACACTTTACATTTAAATTTCTGACTTAGCTGACAGATGTTTTAAAAAACAAACACATGTAGCCCAATAACTCCCTGATGACTGTGTATGTGCAGACGCTGGAATTAACAAGTTATTCCATCTAAAACTGAGCATTATTTGTGCAACATACTCCTACTTGATCTTTTATTCTGAATGAATAATATGATCCAATACTGTATTTTTATAATTATTCTACTTTAAAAAAAAAAGAGTAAAGATTACTGAAATGCAAGACATCAATTCCCTTTCTTTTGGAATAATCTGAAAAGTTACTGTATGAGCTAAAATTAGTACCATAATAGTGCAAGTGGTCTGGACAAAACATGTAGCAGCAATCAGACATTAGGAACTAGCTACAAAGTGGAAAACTAGAGAGTGATCAGAGTAGTACAGTGATTCTCTTGTAACAGCATCAAACACTTCAGAATTTAAGAATTAAAAATGGTAAATACAAGCCAACAAGGTGTTATCTTCCTATTTGTGCAAGTAAACAGCCCAAAATGTTAGCTAAATTCAATTTTGTTAACCATTTTACTACTGTCCATATTGGAATAAACTCCAGGCTATTCTGGAATTGTAGGTGAAGGATAGACTGATTATCACCACCTTCCTGCCACAACACTGCCCCACACGCCCCAACTAATCCTAAAACACAGCAGTGCCCAGTATACTCAGGAAGAGAGCCCAGACCAACCAGTACAGCTCACCTGATCATCATGACTGGTTTAACTGAAAATTTGAAAAAAGATTAAATACACTTGCTATATAAATTCCCAGCATGGACAACCGTTCAAAATTTTACAAATTCTATCCATAGAACCCCTGTCAGTGATTAACAGCTAAAAAAATAAAAAATAAAAACCCCAAACCCAACCAACCAACAAACCAAACCCCCATACTCCACATACTGACCAAGATTACATGGTGTAATAATTGGCATATTTTAAAAGATAAATATGCCAGAGTCAGCTGCGATACTGAATGCCCAGTGGCTTACTAATACTAGACACAGCCATATCCAGTTCAAACCATATTAAACGTCTGTTGCATTTTTTCCACATAGGGATACTTTATGATCTTTCTCACCCTGACTGCAATTGCTGATTCCTTCCAACCCTAAATTATCACAAACCCTTGCCATTTTTAACATTGCAAGAATTTTCCTGCAGAGCCCTGAACACCCAGCAAAGTGCAGGCACGGGAGAAAAGAGGCTCCAAAGCACCTGGAGATCAGAGACTTGCTGCAACTCTGCTAGATGCAAGACTTCTCTGGTTTCCACAACTGCAGTGGAATCAATTGCTTATTATGCCATGAAGAGACTTGCAAGAGACTTATGATTTCATATCATAATTATATGAAATATCATTTCATATCATAATGAAATATGCACCATTATCCCCTTGAATTAATTACCCAACTGGAAACAGATGTCAGTTGTCTTGGTGACAGTGTTTCACAAAAACAGATGGCTGCCTAGTAAGTCCCGTTTTTACATGTTATCATGAGGAACTGACGTCTGTTTGGTCCCCCACCCCCTCAAATACATAATTTAGTTGAAGATCTCCAGTTTAACGGTAGTGAGAAGCCAAAGGCCAAGAGTCTTCTCCAAGTAAAGGTGATTTTGAATCCTGGATTGCTACACTCCTCTGAGCTGCACTGCTGCACTTTACTTGCTGCCATATCAGTGCACTGTGTTATAACACTGTTCAGTCGTTGCCATCCCAGGTCAGATTCAGGCGGGTGAGGATTTATTATTTTTTTGTAGAAGATCTCAGGACAGCCTTTGGTACTACCCAGGCCACTGGAGTTTTTGCCTTGACTTGACCAGACAAGCTATTTTTGTCAATAAACTGTTTCCCAATTTCTCATTAGTTTAAGAATTGGCTGGCTGAAAATGCCAGGTGCTAGTACTTTTGGCTTCAC